CGCATTTGGTTTTGAATCAAAAGTTAAGTGGGAGTTTCAAAATGTCAGTTATTGGAATGATAAATAAATATTGCTAAACTAAGTGCAAATATATGGTCTTGTGGTGTTACCACATTGTTTGCTAGAATACGATGAAAGAATACTCGTGAACAATTTTTGTTGAAGGATTCGAATGAAATGTCGAATTAATCAAGCATAATTAAAGTTAGACAAGACTCTTGTTGAAGAATATCACAACATCCTGGGCAATAACTTTTCTATCACTATTTCAATTACAATCATTAGTATTGCTGTTAATATCACCGGTTTAGTTACTGCAATTGTCACCAATACCACTGTTCACTCATTTCAATTTTGTAACACTCAATTCTTCACCTATCAGTGTTTGGTTTATAAGGACAGCTAATACATTATTGACGTGGCCAAAGTATCGGATCTCTGTGAAAAAGCAGCAAGCACAAAAACAAATTTTTGGCTTTCCAAATCATTTCATTCATCTTTGCTGGTCATTTCTGGAAGTAATAATCATAACACTTTTGCAACTTTGATAACTCAACATTTCGCGATCCAAGAGCACGTAAGTCTTTTGAGCGAAAGCACTGCGAACGGTAACGTTCCAGCCGTTTTGGTTACCGTATGTACCGCAAAACCCATCAACGGTTGCATGTTTTCGCGCAATCGATCAGAGAAACGAATTGGGATTATTCGAAGCGGTAAAGGTAATAAACAACAAAGACAAATTGTGCAGCAGAATCATCATCGTCAAGAACTTTCTAGCAACCCTTTAATCGAAGGATCCAACACCGGTATCCCTTTACCTTTGTTCCCTAACAAGTTAAAAGGTACCAGTTGTCAGGTTAGTACTTCAACTGCTTCACTGTCTAATCGTTTACCTCCCCCACCACCACCTCCGCGTTCTCCCACTACTACCTTTGATTTTCTTCCTTCAAATTATCAACGAACCACTCAGAAGAACGTTTCTTTTGAACGACGATCTCCTACTGAACTTTTGCAAATTAGACTTGAAACCGTCTCGAAACCAAATTGGGCCCAGGCAAGCCTATCAACTTTTTTAACACTAATTATTGCACCTGATCTTAGAACAAAGCACACATCTTGATAATAATTGGAACCGGGACAATTGCTAGAACGCGTTAACAGTGATAATGTTTGAAAAGATCCGATTGCAGTTCATTTTCATGTCAAGACTTTCTGCTTTTCTAAAAATAGAGCTTTACAAAATATTATTTGCAAACCAAAAAATACATTTTAAATAGCATTTCACAGGGTTCTTAATTTAATTAAAATTGTTTGGAGTTTCTATCCTACTTAAAATTGCTTATTTTAATAACAACAAAAATTGTTGAAACGTGTGTGATCTTCAAGTTATAAAATTTATTAAATTGTACTTATTCAGCATGAAAAAACGCATGATTGCTATATTTAAGTTCATGACAGGAATACATCATTTATGTAAAAGGTCTTATGTTTATAGATGGACTTTTTTTCAGTATGTCGAACAAGCAACTCAAAATTAAGGATGAATTTTGATATAAGCATGGTCTCTTTAGTTTTTTCACTTGAACTCAAAAGTGTTTAAACTTGTTGGCATAAATTCGTATGACACGAAAATATTTGCAATGACTTTTGTAATCCATGACAGAGAGAATAAATGTGTATTGTCATATAAAGCAAAACAAATGAAGTGGAAAAAGTAAGCATCTAGAAAGGAATAGCAAAATTAGCAATATTAGAGAATCCAACTATATTGTCATAATAGTGACAAATCTAATCTTTGGTCAAATAATCATAATGATTCGCTTCTTTAAATCATTTACATGCATTGAGGCTCAAAATAGATAGTGAAAAATAAATGTGTCTAAAATGCTTGAAAAAGCAGTACTTGAAAATAATCATAAATGATCAAAAAAACAAAAACTATATTTTCATGACAGTAAAAATTATAATCGCTTATTTATGACTGACAGCCCAGCTGCTTATTTTTGTTACGCTGGTAATAATTTGTCTTATTTTAGCGAACACCAATAGAGAGATTGCGTCGCTTGGATTCAGTCCCATCCTATCAGGTACAAATTTTTTTAAATATACATTCGTACATGGCTGTTAACGTGTATTTGTATTTATTAGCATATATCATTAACAGTGAAAATTTATTTTTTCTATAAGTTTAGTCTTATTTCTGATTTGATTCTTGAGTAAAAGTCGATTTTGAATAACGAAGTAATATTTCAAAATAATTATTGTATGTTACTTGCATATAATTTATAAGTATGCTTTCGTGACGACAAATGCGAGTCATAGTAACTTTCTGGATCTAATTTCATGTTGCTTAAAAAAAATCATTTTGTAGTTTAGATTTGTAGATTTCATCAATTTACTATTTATGAAACGTAAGTATATTTGACACAAAAATTTTTGTAATGTAAGAACGACACTTTTCTATTGCAAGTTTTGTAATGATATTCTTGATCATCTCTTTAGTATTTTTAACTTAATAATTTCATTACTTGTGATTTATTTTACTGATTAATTAAATTATTGGCTTCCATTTTTATCAATACATGCTTTTTGAGTATCTCGCTTGATTTACTTTTTTCTTCTTGTTTTATTCAACTTGTTTTTTAGGATGTAAGATATTTTGCAAAACTTGTAAGCAGGTACTGCATTTGCATAAAAGTTTATAAAGACTTAACGATTATATTTACTGGTTGTAAGTATCATGATAAATTCAATCGCAGATGCTAATTTGCTTTATTAATAAAAATATTGAGAGTATAATGAAAATCATTTTTTGTACTGATCTTGCCATAACACCATTTTTTGCGTAGAGATTAAAAAGTTAATTTCAAGTCACATATTATTTTTGAATTCATATACTATTTTACTGCGATAACAACTTTTGTTCTTTTAATATTGATGGCAGTTCTTTACAGCAATAATGAATGCCAAAGACAAGTTATCTATTATAAAATGTTGGGCATTGTCCAGATTTGGCAAGAAGCTCAGCGATTAATATAGATCTCTTTGGTCAGGAAGCTACTTTTTATTAGTAGTATTATTGACTCCTATTGATTCATTTTCTCAATTAAATGCTGTTTCTTCTTCGTCAAGAAATGGAGTTGATAGATTCAGGTGATAATTCAGTGGTGCAGTTTATTTGGGCAAATACTAAAGTAGCAATTTTCTGCAAAATATGAAAGTTCAAATTTTTAGCTGTTTTTGAGTGCTACAACATTTATATTAATGCTTAGTGCTTATATTGCTTTTGGTTTTAATTAATAGTGTAAATAAAATTTGGAATGAATTCCAACAATCATACTAAATAATTTACCTAGAAAAATGTTTTATGTATACATTGATTACTAACATTTAATGTTGTGATATTCAAAATTAATCAAACAAATAAATGTTTCTAATCTTATTTTCTCCTAAATTGTTTCTCGTATAGATCATATTATTATAAAGAATGTGCTGATTGTCGTGATTAATGCTTTCAGAAAAACAGTTTTTTCAAAAAAAGAGTAAAAGAAATAAGCACAGTAGCAGCAAGTTCAAATCATTATTATTTGTAAAAAGCAAGACACTTTCTGATGCAAGTTATGTAATGGAATTCCTGATTTCACTGAAAGCATCAAATCTATGAGCGATTTCAAATTAAAGTTTATTAATTTGACAAGAAGTTTTCAATTGTGTATGCACTGTTATATAATGCATTGGATGTATAATTACATTGGAAATTTCATTAAAATCAATTTTATATCATTTCTTTGCAAAGTTTAATGTATCAAAGTTCCTTCATGTATTCTATTTCTATTTCCGATATTTCCTGCTGTTAGCAAGATTTTTTCATATATAATTGCCAGTTTAATAACTAATTAAGAGTAAAGTATGAAATCATTCAAATTGTTTTTCAGGCATTAAATTCATGAAAATTGAAGAGGCAAGATGAATAATCAATCAAATTTCTAAGTACTATTTTTGGGCCAAAATTTTCATTAGGTCTTATTCTGAAGTCTAATTTGCTTCAATTAATTGCGTTCCTTTGATGCAATTGTAATATATGAAATTGTTCGATAAAAAACTGTTTTCAACGATTTCCGAGTATCGCACAAAGTTTGGAAATAAAAGTTTAATACACATCTTTTCAATTTAATTTCTCAGTTAATTTTAATGGTTTTTGTTATATTTGCCCACCTAAGTAGTTTCCAGGTAAATATTTAAAAAAATAAAGACTTTTAATTCATTTATTTTAAGAATTTTGAATTTTTGCAGCTTGTATTTGAAAACGGATTCGTTATTTACCTATGAATTACCATTAGTTCTTTAAAAACGCTGATTTATATGTTCAATTTTATAAAACTTTATTGTTTGATGCAAAATTCTTGAACTAATAATGCAGGTAATTTTGTTCGCTTGCTAATGTCATTTTAAACGTGCAGTAAGGCAAAAGTAATATTTTATGAAAAAGTTGTCATTACGAAACAAAAAATATTTTGAATCACAGGAAAAGTTGTAAGCCAGATTATATTAGATCACAGCTTCTTAGCTTGCTTTTGGTCTTTTGAAAGTTTTAGAACATTATTGCTTTTTCATTTCTAAATTTGATTTGCTCTAATTTAACTCTCGATTATGTTTGAGTTTGCTTAAACCAGTGCTTACTTATAAAAAGTAAAAATTTCATCACTTGAAAAATTTACATATTTTGCCTACTATGTTCTTCGTTAGCAGTGCGAATCTATGCAAAAAATTTTGGTTCAGCACAGTGTACTCCAATTCTTATTTGTCCATTTTGTTTATGTTTTGACAAGTTTTTCTTCTTTTATTATAATATTACATTTCATAATTTCCAGAAGCTTTATAACTAGCATTTCAAAGTTTAATCATTTCTCTGACTTTTAGCTGCTATTTTATTCAGTTGAAATTCCATTGCTCCAACTTGATCGCAAAGTTATTGAAAAATTTCTTGATATTTTATTTATGCACCACTAACCACTGTTTTCAAAGTAATGCAATTTTTATTCCAATCACGAACTTAATTAGCTTACATTGTCTGTGAAAATAAAAAAATTAGATTTTTCAGGCATGAAGAGTTTTCACGCAGAATTTAGATATTCTTTGAAAGCTTTGTTACAGTTAGAACATTATTCACTTTCGATCAGAACCTTAATACGTCCCATACCGAAAGTCAAAATCTCCTTTGCATAAATAAGTTTGTATATGATCATTGCAGAGACTTAATATCCAAACCAACCATATTAATACTTTTATTATTTTATGGCTGCTTTGTTGATATAAATATAATTTTTCATTCTTTTAGCTAGCTTATGTAAATAAAAAAAAGTTTGTTGCTCACTATGGTGATTAGAAAAGTTATCAATATAACTTTTGTTTTATCACCTATCGAATTTTGTTTTTTGAGATGAAAGGGTTTTTTTAAAGATATTGCTTATGTAATATTAAAAATGTTGAGATTTTCGACTTTCTTTACAGTCATCTGATTTAATAACGCAATTTTAGACCTTTGCCTTGAATAAGATATTAGAATAATTATTTGTGACTAAGCTTTCCGTGATTTTGTCGCACGTTAAGCTTCGAAATGCTTGTTTCTATTAAAAATTCCTATTATTGTTGTTAAATTCAGTTCTAATATTTGCGTGATATTATACATGATAATCAGTTGAGAAATTAAAATTTTTACTGATACCAAAGCAACAGCAATGATGAATTTTACGAAAAGCATTTCTCAAAATTTTCACCATTGAAAAATTGCTTGGATGTGTAATTTTTTTTACTTTGACTATTATGGGGTGAAGTGTAGTAAATATCGAAGACGGAAACGAACGAAGGACTTCAATAAAAGTAAGGGGAAGGAGAGCAAAGTTAGCCAAGACTGGTCCTTTTATTTATCCTAACTGCTAACTCTGATAGCTTATATATAGCAAGGAGCAGCTAAATGCAGTCTGGAATAATGTCAAGGAACTTTTTCATAAAGTATTCCTTTAGTTAATTGCTTAAAGTTAGAAAACTTTTTACTATTTTAAAGTCTGATAATTGCTAGCCTTGTTCGCAAATATATTTGATTCTTTCGTTCCGATTCTCTTCCATTTTCTTCCTTTTTGTTTGCTAATCTTTGAATTGTTTTCCAAAGCTTTTATTTTTCATATTACATTGCAATTATAAGCTTCTTAAAATATGCTTAGTAGATTTGAAATATGAGTGTAAATTTTGTTAGCTTCTACTATGATCTTATTTTTTTAAATGTATTTTCGAATGAATGCTAGAAGATGAAATATGAAACTTAAAGTTATGGTTGATTACGTGCTTATGCTAATTCATCAATGTCAAATTGTTTTTCTTGTTTATTTTGACCCAAATCAAATTTAATTAATCAAAATTATAGCTATCAACAATATGTATACCATTGCTGTAAATCGTAATTAAAAATCTGGCAAATCTTACCAATCGCAGAAATGTCTTTACTATTTTTGCAGCATGGATACCATTTGTTTATTTCCTTACATTTTTCAGGCTAAAAAGCTGCTGGACGGAACACATCAGTTGCGCATCGACGGCCGTCACGTCGGAAGCGCAGGCCACGGCGGTGGTAGTTTTTTTCATCATTCTGAGACTTTAGTTTAATGAAATAGTTTTCAAGAGCCATTAAACACCTTGATACAGTTTTATATTTCAGCATAATATCATTTGCTTTTGAGGAAAATCATTTATCATGATTTTATTTTGACAATCATTATTCATCGTAATCAAATCACAATATTTTATTCTAAATATTCCATTTCATAATTTAAGCTTCATATAAATTTTTGTAGAAAGATGTTTGCTCACTTTGTCAGAAAGGTAATAATTTGATCATGGGCTAATTTTATTCATATTCAAGTCAGAAGTCAGAAATATCAATGAGTTTTTTTACTGAAAATATCAATTCTGCATATATGCTGACATTTTTCATGTTTTCAATGACTATGATAAGTCTCTTAATGCTTGTTCAATAATGGTAGAAAAAGCAAATGTGAGAAAACAGTAATTAGAGTCAGAATTTTTCCCGTAATTATTAGAAATGTTATCTGAAAAAAAAAGGCTGATCACTTGGTACGACATAAAGCAGTAATTTTAAAACTTTTGACAAAATTCTGCCGTTTTTAAAAAATGTTATGGAAAATTAAAAATTATGAATATTAGGCCACGGGCATAAAAAAGAATTTGGTCCAGCTATGATATTATATTATTTGGCATCTGCTTTTCGAACTCTCTATCCAAGACTCGATGATGATTTTGTTGATAAATTAAATTATTATTATACTACGACGATACGTGAGTTTATTGACTTTCGAAACATTTTTGCTTACATCTATCAGTTTTTATATAAAATATATTTTAGCCTATTATGTATAAAAAATAAAATTCAGTGAAAACATTAATTAGTTTTTCATATCGTTCATCTGCATAATATCCAAATTCTCCATTTTATATAAAATATGCTTCAAAAAGAATTGATTCTTTGAGCAAACGAGTCAATTTTTAATACCTTGCAACTTGACCTTACCCTATAAAAGTCATGAAAATGGATAAAAATCATTAAATACCCTTTTAAAGACGAGATTACTATTTATTCATTCATTAATAACTCCCTGTTAACATACTCAAATGTTAAATTTCAGTAGCATCATTTGCACTTCTGGTTTCTGCTAAGCAGTATGTTGGTTAGTGAATTTTTTTCAGCTTCTAAAATTTTTACTCTCAAGTTTTTATGAAAGAAATATGAAATTTGCTGCACTGTCTTTAATTTCCATTATAATTCTACTACTATTTTTAATTTCATGCTAATATCTGCGTGAAATTAAAGTGATGGAAAAATTTGCATTCTTGTGTGATTATAGGTTTTCCTATACAGTGTTGGGTCCCGGCAACGTTTACAGATGCCATGGAACAATATACAGAAAACTACTGCTGGGTACAAAACACCTATTGGGTACCTATGCAGGTGAACAAAGATAGATTCATTCATTCATTCATATACTTTGCTCACTGAATTAAATTTAGCTATCTAATTTTAACAACTGATTTTTGCCTTCAACCAAATGTATTCACGGGAGAAGATGCATGAATTGTGCACTGCTTTATTAATTCCACAAGTGGTAGTTTTATTACAGGAAGACATTCCACGAGAAATTTATTCGAGGAGAAATCGTCAAATTGGCTATTATCAGTGGGTTCCGTTTATCCTCGCAATTGAAGCATTGCTTTTCTATGTGCCTTGTATATTATGGAGAGGAATGCTGTACTGGCACTCAGGTAATTCCTTCACATAAAATTGAAAGTAATTAAATTTTTTTGGGAATAATTTCAGCAGAATAAAAAAGCAATATAATGATTTCCCATAGATAGTGTTAATAGAGTGAGAAATTCCTATTTAAGGAATTAATCTGCAAGGTCTTGTGCAGATGGCATGTGATGCAAGACTTATGGACGCAGATGTTAAAAGCCGGACAGTGTATACAATGGCACGGCATATGGAGGACGAAGTTCAGGTCAAATATTTAGTATAAAAATCTTCAGTTTTATAACGACACATCCTGCTTTTCCTTTTCATAATATATGAAAACAGTGAGTATGATATATTTTATGGGGCAATCAAAAATTAGTTATCATAATATAATTGAAGATTTTCGACACTAAAACATTCTAGATTTGAATTATTTTGCCTTACAAGAATTAAGTAGAATTTTAGCTGACACATTTGGAGCGACATGGACATGCACGAACATGTTTTCCTTTTGCCCAAGCAGGTGGCCGTTGTGGAAGGCATTGTGGATGTTATGTTACTATGTTATACATTGGTATCAAGGTTCGCTTATGCCATTATTTGAAAATAGGAATTATCATACAAAGACTATTTTGTCTACCTGTCTTGCAAATTTATCATTAGATAAAATAAACGTGTCCTCAAAAATAGTTAACGTCAAAATAGTTACTTCCAAAGTAGCTAGTCAAACAATGCAGTTTAATAATGACTTTTGTTTAATTATTCATCACATAATAATACTGTTATTATAAAATTAGTAAACTAGTGCTATATAAGAGCAAAAAATTTCGTGTTCCATTTCAGTTGTTTGTAAGCCGATGCGGTACAAAGTATAACATATTTCAGATCTTATATTCTGCTAACGTGCTATTGCAGTTTTTCTTACTGAATCATCTACTAGATGCAGATGATCTTGCATATGGTTTTTCATTATTACGCGATTTAATGCATGAAGTCGAATGGGAACAGACCGGAATGTTTCCACGTGTAACACTTTGTGATTTTGAGGTATGCAATCAAATATCGTATTTCGCTTTTTTGCTTCATATAAATTTTGAAGTTGAAAAGCAAAGAACATTTAGGTTCGTGTGCTTGGTAATATCCATCGACATACTGTGCAATGTGTTCTTATGATTAATATGTTCAATGAAAAAATTTTCCTTTTTTTATGGTTTTGGTTTCTTACGGTTGGCTTGATAACCATTTTTAATACTTGTTACTGGATATTAATAATGTTCATTCCAAGTCAGGTAATTATGCTTTTACAGATCTATTAGCATTTTAATCTTCTTAAAGTTTAACTGAAATTAAAGCATACTGTTGCTATGAAATTTTTGCAGCCTTTTATGCCGTTAAATATAAAATACAAATTTTGATAAGATCATTGGTAAATTGGGAAATAGTTTTAATTTTTCTAATCTTCATTTGCTTCTAGGGAATGTCCTTTATTCGCAAATATTTGCGAGTGTTAAGCGACCATCCAACGAAGCCTGTAGCTGACAGTGTATCACTTCGAAAATTTACTAATCAGTTCTTGCGCAAAGATGGAGTATTTATGCTCCGGATGATCTCAACTCATGCTGGTGAACTAATGAGTAGTGAATTAGTTCTTGCTTTGTGGCAGGTAATGGCATCAGTATGCCTGATCAAGTTTATAAATATCAGCAAAGATAACTTTACTATTGAACACTTCGGCACATTTTCACAAACTGAATGAACTCAAAAAAAAACAAAAATTTTTCTGAAATTAAATTGTTACTAGACAGATAGCCAAGAAATGATTGCTTCTCTGCAAACTAGATAAAACCCAAAATTTCTATCGAAATTGTGTTGATTCAGTGCTTATAATCAAGCGAGATTTGAAAAGCGAAACATCAAGTGCAGTATCAAATTGCAGGATTTCAATAATGTTGATCGTACGTCCGCTCAGTTTTGGGATGCTGAACACGGCACAGGAACCCTCGATACTTAACTATGATTAATTGATTCTAAGGACTGGAAGTTAGTTTTTGTGGTACTATTCCATTTTGGTGTTGATGCAGAGGAAAGCTTGTTTGTTTTTTTTTGTTGTTGAAAAAATAATCACTGCAAAGAATGTTATGGGGAAAGTTTCCTGATCATTTTATTATATCAATTAATTTCATTCATCGTGACTGATATTAATACTACTCTCTTATTTTTGTCTTCTTTATGATCTATCATTATGAATTGATTTTTTTTTGTTGTAATAATCGTTATTTTTTTTTGTAATCATCATATTTATTTTGGGTATTCAAATTAAAATCAAAGTAAAATGAAAAACAGCTTTTTTAGTTCTTTTTTACATCTCTGATTTCTATTATTTTTTAGAAGTAAATATCATTGTAATTAATCTCTGTAATATTTGATTTTTGCTTATTGTTTAAGAAAAAAAATCTCATAAAAATGACTTATCAAGATAGATCACAGTGAACTTTCTATCCTTTACCTATGATTTAGCAAGTAGTCCATGAAGCCACTTAACTTATTTTTTTGAAAACAGTACTTTGTATCACCTAATTCCATTACGATGCAGTCTTTTAAGCATTTTATCAGTGTAATTTTTAGATTTTATTTTTCTTATTGCATGAACTTCTGATTCTTGATGCTTTTACTAAATAGTCATGACTAAAAATCGAAAAGATTATTGCAGTTTAGCTTGTTAACGTTGCTGTACTCAAAAATTATGGAGTTGCATGAAATTATTTGAATTATGGTTTGTAAATTTTGCAGTCAATATTTATTTGAACAGACGCATTGAGATCAATAGCTCATTCTTTTAATACTCACTGAAATGTCATATAAAACTGATGAAGTTCATTTACCTGGAATTTTGCTACTGAAATGATAATAAACTGATAATAAGACTGATGATTAAATCAAAAAAAAAATCAAAAATATTGCTATAATTATTGTTATATTGTGCGATATTTTCCACGTATTTTAATTTATGAAAAAAAATTTTTTTTCAAGCAATTATTAATGCAAAATCTAGAGCTTAACTTAAGCCCACTGCCAGATCTCATCACTTTGTCATGTACAGCACAATGTTTTTGTTAAATATCAGTAAGCAGCCAAAGCACATTTTTCGACTCTCACTGCTTTCAGAACAATAGTATATTTCAAAGATAACTAAAAGTTTGTTTGAAATGTAAAATCAAAACGGAATCGAAGCTTGAAATTTTAATATTCAAACTTTGTAAATATTCGCAAAAATTTACAAGAATATATTTTATGCAAAAAATTCAGTGAAAAATATTATTTAAATTACTGCAGCACATATCAAGGTCCTGTATTTCATTTATTCATGGATGGTTTATCACATTCATGATAACGATCACTGTCAAGTTATTAATCAACTTAAAATAAACGAATGAAAGCAAAGCATTGCTTTCTCTGTCTTCGATAGCATTACGAAATGATAGTAGCGCTTTTTTACGTTTACTCAATATTTGTCTCATTTTTGATTTATATTCTTATTAAGTTTGATTAATTCCATTTTTCTTCAATCATATTATTAATAATGTAGTGGAAAAATGGATATCGATTACTTTCTTGTGCAATCTATCACCGCAGAAAAGGATAATTTAATATTTGATGTTGAGATTTTATTTCATTAATTTTGCAAAAATTAATGTAGAATCTAAATGTGCACTCAAGAAATGAAAATACCGGTGAAAAAATGCGGAAAATAATGTATATACAGTCTTGCCAATGAGAGTGATCATTATGGGGGTAGCCAGATTTGAAGAAAATTTAAAGAAATTTTACCTGTAAAGAAAAATGAGGCTATCTTAAATTCTCTAAAAATTATCGCAAGATTTTGACTATTACAATTGAATGCTGACTTAAATCAGTTATTTCTTTTGCGTAGATATTGTTTGAATGAACACAAAAGCTGCATCTTGTAGCAAATTCCTATGAGTGAGCTGGCATGCTTGATGCTGTCTATCAGCAAAGTATTAACTGAATGCAACTCGTGTAACAGAATGATTAATCAGTAAGATGAGATGTAAATTTGGAAATGAAAAAAAAGTTATTTAAAATGTGTTATACAGATGTTTTGTTGGAGACTGCATCTTGAAATACAACATATTATTCTTAGTTATCTTTCAGCAGCTAAACAGAAAGTAAAGAAGAAAAGCTGACTGAATCCAATCATCAGCAATAACTTAACAGCTGATAAAATCTACATAACAAATCAATTATCATTTAAAATGTACCTTCTAAAGAACAGAAAAAGTAAAGAATTTGGCATTATGTTGTATAGTTTACATAGATTTTGCATATTTTTAATCACAAGCTTCTTTTCAAGACTTGTATCAAAAGTTTTGTAGCAATTCACATGCAAATATTTTGTCTGCCCATCAAAACAAATTGGAAAACGAAAATTAACAATAATTTCTCATTGGAGTGCGAAAGAACGCTGCAATAATTTATGCTCTCTAAAATGTGTAGAATGAACGTAATAAAGAAAAAAATAACGTTCATCACAAAAAAGCACTTCAAGATTTTAGCCCTTCAACTATTACGTGCTACCATTAACATCAGAGAAAAATTGTTAATGTGGTTCATTTTTGTCATAAGTGTGGTGACAATAATGACAGTTGCAATGTTTTCAGCATTATATCCATTAAAAGAACATTCATCAAAAATATCTTCAAAAACTTTGAAACTACATTTTCATCATCTACACTGCAATTAAGATGACAAATATTAATATTAAGGCACTTACTAAGAATGTTTACATTATATACAACCCGGAAACAAGTAAAAATTTTGAAAGACAACAAAATATTCGTAAGCACAAATAGTGATATTTGTACGGTAGAAAGTGAAGTATCAATTAATGGTCCATCACATAATAACTTCAGTTCTATTCTTGCCACGTTAACTGTGAAAAGAATTATCAGAACTTCTAACAACCTACATGAACATCCTGGAGTACTGGACATTCTGCCTGATAAAAAATAATTATTTAAAAAATGTAAGTGATAAACAGTGTTGTCATTCTGATTGGTGATATTTCAAACTGATATTAAAGTATGAATCTGTTTGAACGAAAACAAAATAAAGAATACATCGAGTTCTTCCAAAAAAATTTATTACTACTTCATGACCTATTATTTGACTTCCATTGAATGCCGTAAATTACGCATTTGAATTTGCTTAGCAAATAAAAGTGGCTCTAGAATTTCGTACACTTACAAACTAAACAATGGAGAGGTTCCCAGACTTCGCACTTTGCCCATTTTCCAATGCTTCAATTTCTTGCCCTTGTAAAGTGTGAGTCAAACTTAAATGTGATTAGCTACCACTGAATGAATTAATGAATACTTTGAAGGATAAAGGAAAGAAAAAACCGAAAAAGTGTTCGAACATTGTATCAGTGCGATATGTAATTAAAGACGAAATGTTGACAGTTATCCATGTACGAGCATCTTTCATACAAACAAAAAATCACTGCTAGAATAAATTTAAAAAATAGTAATTGAGCTCTTCAAGTGATCGGCTTCAGTTTTTTTCTTATAAATTGCATATCATATCCTAGTGCCACTGTTTTTTTAATCGCTATTCTACTTTCTGATTTCTGTTAATAAAATTAACATTGCTTTCCATATTGTTTCTTATATTAACGTTATCTAAGCCTTTATCCTTGTTTTTATAATCCTTTCTGTCATTGTTGTTTACACTGTCTGATATTTCGTCTTCATTAGCAACTTGTGGAATATCCTAAAATGCAGTTTACATCCAGCATAACCAAAGTCAAACCAAGAACTGCTAAAAAATATAACCTTCACATTCTTTTCACTGCACTGACAAATTGTGCATTAAATTTGAATTGCGTAATAAACTTAGCAGAACTTAAATATTAATCATACAAGAATGACTTCATAAGTAGACTTTGTCTAGCTATTCAATATAAAAGAGACTTTTTATTCGAAACAAACAAACATGATTATGATATTCAGATATGATGACGCTTTTTGGACCATCAGGACTTTCTCGAATGCATTTATCAATATAAACCATTACTTTATGTAATCTTCTTTCAATTGCTGGATAGTGTTTATATGCCAAGATTGGCGCTAATGGATCTTTGGACATCGACCTTTGAAAAAGAACCGAGATAGAACGGGTTGCATGAACTGTTTCAAGACAACAACACTGATCATGAAGAAATCAATAAGGTACACAGACTACTTACCGATGCAACGCTTTTGACAGAGAAACTGGTTCTTGATAGTATTTTAACAATGTTAAGAAAGTAGACGGCCTTAAAATGCAACACTGTCGTAGAGGTAAAAGAATATCATCATCATCAAGATCGGATCTGCCAAACCTGTAAATACTATGTCAAATTATGTTTCTAATGAAAACAAGACTTTTTTGAATACGCTTGCAAAAGAAACCCTAAAATTTTGTGATGATGCAGGTATTTTTATAACATTTAACGTAATCATTCAAGTTTGCAGATGAAACCTGTAAAGATTATGAGTCAGATGGAAAATACCTACGCTCTTCCATTATCTAAATGAATTGCATATGTGGGGGAATTCGTAAACACTGTGAATGTCTCATAATGATGCCGATCTTGGTTACCTAAAACTATTTAGTTGCTAAATATCACTCACACAAATATCTAGCAGAATGTTTCATTTTTTACATAAATAGGAATATCAAATAGTGCTAACATTTTCTAAACAATTATTTTTCTGCCTTATTTTGCAATTACTCGACACATTTTTGACCTCATACATTAATATTAAGCAACCTCGCATCCCACATATTTATTTTTTTGATTCCAAAGTTAATTACTTGGTTCAATAATATTATTTCAAGTATTTGACCTAAAAAATATTTACCGATTAGGTAATCCAACACATGAAAATCAATAAGATCTAATAACATGCGTCCATGGGCATATTTTTTCATCCTTTTCACTTTCTCACGACAGTAATCCATATTTTCTTGCCAATCGGCTATTTGATTTTTTTTCGAATACGTTCTGTGAAAAAATTGCAAAAAATTTTCAAGTAAAAATAGCAACAATAAAATAGGTGTACAGTCAACTCTGCTTCAAAATCAACAAAATAACGTTTCAAAACTTATGATGAACAAATTCTCATAGTATAAATCTTATAATTTAATTATGAATTTACAGAAATTTACATTTCTAACCTTCGATAAGGGGATTCATCATGTTGTCTAGGAACGTTAACTTCTTCAGGTAAAAATACCTGTACGGATCCTTCTCTGGTATCTGGTGTACCACAAATCGCATGTGATGTATCACAATAATAATCGCATTTACTCACAAAGCACAAGTTTTTAGCTGAAAGTCATCACGCTTTCCATAATATCGTTCCTCTATTTTTTTCGATAAGCATTTGCTACTCAAAATATTTATTGTAAAGCATGTAAGTCATTTGGCTTTAACAATAAAATTAAAACGCTAAAGTTGCTGCAAATTTTAATATATTTTTCGCGACAATAGAACGGTACAAGAAAAATGAAATGAATTGAATGATGAACCCACTGACTCTTAAATTACAGAAATTAGTTATAAAACATGCCAGGTGAAACGAAAAAAGTTCTTGCTAAACGTTTCTCTGCTTTATCACGTAAATCTGACGTTAAGTTGACTACTCGACCAACTGTTGGAATAGCTCGTCGAAAGCCGAGAATCCTATATTAAATTGAATTGGAAATTTCAAATACATTAATGATACTTATGAAACACTAAAATGGACACTTTTTAGTGTAGAAATTATTAATTATATACTGATACTGAGGAATTTTTGCTATAGGCAAGAATAGTAACAGACATTCGAATTGCAGTAAATTTATCATTATTATTATTATTTCAACAAGCATACTTATCCATATGGAAAGTTGCGATTTCTGCATTGTGCCGCTCAAAATCACTAAAATAAAAATGATTCGGATCAGATTCATAGTCCCGACCAAACCTAAAATTTTTAATGCTTGTCATCTTTTTCAGAGACAATAATTCTTGAGTAATAAGAAAAACCAGTTAACAATTAATTACAAGTTATCCAAATTCTATCGTTTGTTAAAAAGGGCAAGTCAACAGTAATAGAGAATTATCTAACTGCTTTATGAGAAAAGTTTTATTATGTAAAATGTGATATAAACTATCCAGGAATCAAAGTATCCACATAGTCTAATAAAGATTTCCAATGGATAATTTAGTATGATACGACCAGTATTCAAATTAAAACTTTTTTCTTAGAGCGAAATTCCGAATGCAACTGTCAAAAGTATCACTGATTACACTTTTTTAACTTAATCTAGTAAAAAAATTAAAATAACTGAAAGCTTATTTATAGATATTTTCCTTGGCAGATTATAAAATCTGTCATGAGAAGACTTTGTCACGATGCCACAATATTTCTAGTAAATACATTTTTTAAATATATCTCAGAATACTTTAAGAAAAAAGGGACCGCTAACTTCCAACATTTCAAAATATAGAGTAATATTTTACTTCTTTGAATTAAAGCACACAAAGAGAAATAATGTACCTACCTCATGGGCTTAAAAACTGCTTGTTGGTAGTTTTCATAAGTCAGGATGAGCTTCACCTGCGTGCCACCGTCCATAATAGATACTGCTCTTATCGGTAAGGTTGTGAGATCGTTCAATAAATTCTGTATAATCTGAAGATTTAAATCGAAATTATAAACGACATAAAATTTAGAAAAAAGGATAAATGAAGGGACTGTTTTTGCAACAAATAAAAGCAAGAAATTGCGCAATTTCATTTATTTACATATGAATTATCGTAAAATCTATCATGGAAACTTTTGGTCATCTCATATTAATCATTACTCGTCTGTCATTAAATTTGAAATTTGCAACAAAATTTGAAAAGTACTCATCCATTTTATGTGTTCTCTAAAGAACCGATTAATTTTCAAAACGTGGACTTCGTTGAAAATCTGAGAAACAGTGATGAGATAATAATTTCAAATTTTAAGCCAAATTTTCATGATTTTAAGTAATGTTATGTCTTCAAATATTATAAAATGAACCATCACATAAGAATTGTCTTCAAAGTAGTAGTACTGATAAATGCATATTAATAAATTCAAAAATATTAAAAACTATGCCGTACTTCTTCATTCCTGTATATATCGCAGCTGCCAATATCTGCATAGAACTTTTCCCACGAATCTCTTTCTGGCACGATTTTTCTTAAAATAAATAAATCATTAACATTATCCTGATTTTATCATAATCAATAAATAAATCAACTGTAAAGTGAGCGTTCTACAAAAATTTGCATTTAAAAAAGTTGTAACCTGAGATAATTACAAAATTTTTGCTTATTACCTAATCTTGTCTTTCCAAAACTGTCGCAAAGTCTCATTATGAGGACATTCTCTTGCGACCATTTCAGCCATACTTAGTTTATATAAATAATTATCCAAGCGCTTTGCTAATGTCCAGTTCACATGTGATACTAAATTTTTGAAAATTAGTTTATGGCATAACTTACTGCGCAGAAAAATACATTTTGAACTAGCAATTTGTTTTCATGGATTAAATTTGTTTTTATATAAATAATATTTCCAAAAACCATTATAAAAACAAAGCAATTGACCTAAAAATTTCGATATGTCGCTGCTTTCATTGAAAAATGTAGCAATATTGTGCTCTGATGCAGACTGTGGATGAAGTACTGGTCGCGGAAATTTCAATCCTTGATATCTTTTCAAGTTTTCTAAGAAATTTGATGCTTTATTGTTGAAAGGAAAAATATGAAATGATTAAATATCAATAACTACCTACGATCAATCCTTAAATCTTTGAACTATATATATGTCACATAAAGGTTAATTTTTTTACTGATTCTGGCCCTAGATCGTATTCTGGCACTCTGGCTGTACTTTTCCCACGCTCAGCTCTGCTGTGCTGATCGTCCTTCCCTCATACTCACTGAATCCACGGCGATCACCAAGTGGGATGCTTTCAGCGTTTTCCTGAACACTGTCAAGCCTTAACATGATCAGACATACTGATGTCCTTTGACAGTGCTTATAGAAGTTCGTTATAATCCTATCCCAGATCATCACATACAGCATCATTTTGATCCTGCATTTCATCTCTGATCCAAGTTTATTAGCCAGTAGGTCATATTTGCGTTTTTCTCCGTCTCGACTGTATTCCTGCTATCAACCTGTTCTTAGTAATGATGCCAATCTTTATCAGGATTAGTTCGTTGCTTTCGTACATCAGAATGTCTGGTCGGTTTCCATTTACTCGCGCACCCACTCGTCTCCACGTTTTGATCCGCGACTATCCTCTGAAAAAAATCGCTTCGCATGCGTTAGAAAGCTTACAAGACCATACTTTTTGCAGTCCTAGATGGATGCATCGCAACACATTATGTCTTTTAGTATAGTCATGCGTTGCTAGATGGTACCGTCTTCACGAGTTCTCTACAATGTGAATCTCTCAGCTCCAGACATATTTATATCTTAGAGGTGACAGTATCGCGCCTAATCTTGTGGGGCAGTATTTCCGTATCATAACTACATTAATGAATGGGACATTGAGGCTAGTTTATAACTGCGTATCTTGTATAACTTTGCATGGCGAATTTTCTTCTCTATTTTCTTATGCAAGAACATCTTCTGGGTTGCTGATACATTTTCGATGGTTGTATTTCATGACCGTCCTACTTGAGAGCAAGTGAAATCCATGCCCCTTGGCCACTTTTGAATCTTTACTTCCAAGTTTTTCACCGGACAAAGTCCATTCTATGAGGGTTTTGTAGAAACTAAACAAGCTTACCTTTTATCTATGCTTGCTTTCCACCCCGATGGCTTCTTCTATCGCCTTATAATATCTCTGTAGCATTGCTGTGCTAACTGAACCCGCCTTACAAGACCAGTCATTGACTTGGTGGACTTTGTATGGCATATTCACTTGCAGCTTGGTTCATTGCTCCAAGTATGACAAATCAACATTCTTCGAAATTATTTTTCGCGTACACTTTGTCTGATCTGTCTCACGCATTTGGGCTTCTTGCATCTGTACAAGGTGCCTATGCTTTACGTTTAGATAAACCTTAGACTCATGTAGGGTGTTTTGCTTGAAGTATATGTCGTGTGCTTTGACACGCCTCGTTGACTCCTTCAAGAACATCTTCTATGAGCATGGAAGACGTGCAACATAAGTGATCGCAGAATTCGCTTGGTTATTCAGGCTTTGGAGAGAAATCGTAGATACGAACTTCTGGCCATTCATAGAACGACACAATAGGCATCCTTCTCTCAGTATTCTCTCGAAACAGTCAAGTATCGCTTTCATCACTTCTTCTGGCCTCTTGGTTTGTGGAACTTCGATTCTACGGCGAATGCTTCGATAGTATTCGATCGTAATTATCCAGCTAACCTGGTTCCGGTACACTGGCGGACTGATAGAGTGTTTTCTCAAGCCTTCATAAAGACTTCATCTACGATCTCATCTGTTTTCCATTTGTTTTCTTTTTTGATTAACCGCTCGACAACTCAGCTGAGAATTTATATGATATTACATATATACGCAAACCTACACAAGATGCACAGAAATGAGCTAGCCTCAATGTCAAATTCATCGATGTGGCACAATCTGGAAATATTACCCCAAGGATGAAGTGCGATACTGTTACCTCCAAGACAAAATATGTTTGGATCTGAGAAAGATATGTGTCGCCAACATTGTAGGCGACGGGTGAAGACGGTGGACCATCTAGCAACGCAGTGTGAGAAAATTTTATATCATGACTATACTAGAAGACACAATGAAGTCCTGCGATGTATTCATTTAGAACATAGCAAAAAGTATGATTTAAAAATATCCCCACGCTTGCGAAGCCACTCTGTTCAGGAATTCGTCGCGAATGAGAATGCTGAGATCAGAGTCGATACGCGAGTAAAACTGCAATTAGAATAAATGCGGATCGAGTGGATATCATGATACACGATAAGAAGTGACGTGAAGTAATCCTGATTGAGGTGGGCATCACTAGTCAGGACAGGTTGACAACAACAGTCGAGATCAAGAAAAAGCAAAAATATGATCTATTTGTAATAAGCTTGGGTCAGAGATGAAATGCAGGACGGAAATAATTCCGTATGTGATGATTTGGGATGGGATTGTAATGGACTATTACAAATATTACGCGAAAGTGGTAAGTATATACTTATATATAATAATAATAATAATTAATAATGATTAATAATAATGAATATTAATAAATATTGCTAATATTTATTAATATTACATAATAATTATTGTTTATATTTCTGCTTAAGTACCATTGAGTCAGTCGATCCTAGAAGCGAGAACGATAAGTACGACAGATCTGAGCGCGGGTCAGGTACTGCTAGAGTGCCGGAATGCGATCCAGCGCCACAGCCAACAAAGCGAAAATTAAAACTAACCTCCACATTATATATATATGTACAAAATGCCACGCCAAGCAGTTTATATGTAAATATATATGATAAACTTTTGCCAGGAAAAAAGTTGCGGTTAATAAATGTGAATTTGAAAAAGTCATTTAGATAACTCGACCAGAATTAAGAAAGTGATTGTAAACGTAACTTACTACAATTATCACTATCCCTCCTTATCGACAGCCACATAAGTGTGGCGAAAAATAAACAGCCAGTAATAACTGACAATCTTCTAAGATACAATCGCATGATTCAACTGCTGCTCTTCTCACCGTTAGCACTATGACTGACGATGAGACAATTTTTGGTTGCGAGGCCAACTTTATTCCGGAACCGTTATTCATTGTAAAGCGTCATCCGTAAGTA